ATAATTGGATGGCTACGCTGGTACCCTACGCAACAGTTAAAGATTGATATAACGAAAGGAAGTGAACGAGGTGAAGACTGAAAAAAAACGCAATGAACTTGTGTGAGTCGAATAGGGATTGCTTGTAGAGACTTGGTAATGCAGGTGAATAGGCGGATATATAGGTAGCTGCCACCCGAGGGTTTGTAGATATTTAAGTGACGAAATGTTTAGTTGGGACACTTGAGGATGACAAACGGGGGTAGTAGAGTGTGTAAATATGCGCAAGAAAACGTTTCGCAGTACGGGAAAAACAGATGGCTAGCGAATAGACAGAGGAATACATGATCGCGGTAATGATGATGGTGATGAGTGGATGACCAAGACGTAGCTTTATGCTTTATTAGTACGTGGTATACTAGAATTTCGTGTAGAGTCACTATTAGTTAAAGGGTCACTGAACCAACCGTTAAGTTGCCAGCTGTTAGCAGGCCCTTAGACCAGGCTACATAAAAAGGTCTAATAGAATCGTACAGTCGAGCACTTAAACGATGTGGTAGCCTTACTGCTACAATACATGGACAGTCTCAACTGGCAAATGCTGAGCTAGAGTGTGTATTAAGAATCACACAGTGGCACTACGAAAGCCCAAGACGTCAGTTTAGTTTCTTCCACCATCTGCATTTGAAGGAGTACATATTGTTGTCCTCATCAAAAGCTGGAGTCTAACATCGTTTGTCGTGTAAAGATCTTACTCCATCCATAGTTTAGCCATACGCACAGATTCAAAGGGTCGTTCCGACAATGGTCTATGTTGTAGGTGTAGTTTCAGTAGTCAGCATGAACACACTAATAGCGGGAAGTGGATGTGTTGAGACTGAAGGGAACTGGGTTAACGTTACACTTCACGAATGTTAGACAACCCGAGCGGATTAGAATGGTAGTGCTTGTAACCAAACGCATAAAAATACACCAGTTCGGTAAGTAGACAAGAACTTATAATAATTTTTTTTTTGAAAATATCAACGCAAAAGTTAGACATTTAGATGGACCAACATGGATAAATCGAGTGGCTTAAGATTTTTGCAGGCAAACAATGCATCATTCAGTACCGACGGTTACAGCGGTTGTGGATTGTTGAAGAATAAAATGACGAACTGTGGATTATAGTGCCCGTTATGACACGGCAACGAATGTCAAACGACACGGTTATTAACAACAAGATGAATAACACTTAGTATGCCTAGGGGACGGCTTTATTATATGAATTGTCAATTTGTCACGTATTTAATTAGTATTTATTTAACTTAGAACGAAAATTGATTGACGCCAAAAATTAGCACAGGGCAGACCAACGTTGTGTAGCATACTAAAAGATGAACTGGATGAAGTTTAGCAAACATTGCAAGCTCTTCCAGGAGACATCCGCGGAAATGGTGGCACCGATGTACTATTCTATGGCCCTGATTGTGCTCTAGCCGTTTTCAGCTCGAGCAGAGGACGGAGAGTGCTCTAGATGGCAGAGTGGACTTCTTCTTCACTAGATACTAGCCTGCCTTTGGTCCGGCTCTTCTGCTGACGCTCAACTATAGATAGGTAATTACGACCAGAGTGAGACGTTTTCCTAACGTTTGCCTAACGGCACGACAAAAAGAAATGAAAACAGATTATGCTCGGTCTTTACCTATTCGATCTGTTTTAAAGAGGTTCCAAAGGAATCAAGGTTTTAAGGGTTCCTCAAGCAACCGGTACTACTCTTGAGGAAAAATCTTTCTGACAGTGTCTTTTTGCTCAAACCAGAATATCGGCCTCTCGTTACACTCACATGAAAATACGGGAAGAAAGTATCTGCGTACAATGTAACCCCATAGCCACCAACGGTCATTTGGGCTAATAAATATTAGATTAGTAACAGCGGCGGTGACTTATGCAGGCTGAAGTCTTTCTCTCTGCGTCTGTATCTGAACTGAACACGTAACGTAGTCGTGTCAATAGGCGGTTATTTTAGCAGTAAGTTGAGGCACTCCGAGTCGAAGCGATCCCAATTTCATTCCCTGTTTTCGTACAACTTAACCGAAATGAGAGTAACGTACCTTGGGGCGCTGTTATACCACCGTCCGCGTAGTGACAGGCGTCATTAAAGGATCAAAAAAATCAACACGTCTTACAACAAAATCGACTTATATATAT